ATTCCTTAATAACTTCTAATTTCTTGTGAGCCATTAGAATTTTTTCAGTTATTGACTTTTTACCGCATTCAGATCGAGTGTAGGAATTCATTAACTACCAGATAAGACCAAACATTTTCATCCATGCATTTACCAATACCAACATGTTCCATAAAGCATGAAAAGGTAGTAATATATTACCTCGATTTTCGTGCCTTACTGATCAAGTATTTAAACTCCATTCGAACGCCCTCGATCTTGAAATCAACTTCTAATAATTCCTCAGAATATCAACAGAAATATCATTAAAAAAATGGAGCTTATTACGAAAAACGGATCGAATCGGGTGATTAATCAGTGAAAAATAGCTTACCAGGTTCGAATTTGGCGAAACGGACCTCAAAAACAAGCTCAATATGTCAAAAATGTCAGGATAAGTGTACCAAAAAAAAGTCAACGGTCAGTCAACGGCGGTCAACGACTAGGCGGCTCAGCGGCTCGGCTCAATCTAGTCCAATCCAGCCGGTTAACTGCTGGCAGACAACGGCTACGCGCAGGGGGTGGCGCGTGCAACGGATCCGGTCGTCGGTTCGACATGAAATTTTCCAGATTTGTAGATCGACACATCGGAAGTCTCGTGCAAGTGTTTTTTTTAATGAAACATAGCAGATCATAGAATTTTAAAAAGTACCAACTTTTGTAACTGTGGTCGGCGAGTGACGACGACGGATAAACAACGGGACGACGATTTTGGTCGGGTTTTGAGCGCACGGTAACGGTGAGTCTGATGGTGTAGGAGGTGTGATGAACGGGTGGCCAGATCGACAGGAATCGACGGAAAACCAACGGGATCGAGTTAAAACCAAAGAAGCTTCCGGTTAAGTTTTACGACGAAAGACGCCGATTCACGGCGGGATAGAGGTCGGGTTGTGTTCTCCGTTGAATGGTAAGTCTATTGGTGGTTTTGAATCGACGAACGGTGGTCAGATGGTGGAGAATCGGCGCGACAAACATAGACCGACGGGGTTGGGAATTTGCTTTGTTTCTGGTTTGTAACCAAAAACCAAACTTTAAACATATTTTTTCTCTACCAACACAAAATGGGTAAATTCGTGTTCAAGTCTCTAATTTTCATGCACTTCCTAAAATGGTCTATCTTTTTTGAGATTTTACACTTTAATCCTCAATTTCTTCTAAAATACCACTTTAATTCAATACTTTATAATTTCTAAAATTTAGCCCCTAAATTGAGGTGTGACAAGCAAACTGAGTTTTCTATTTCATTCCTCGTTTTACTTTTTTCAGATACTATTGAATTATAGATTTTTTGAGGACTTAACATTTACAAATTCGGTCGCTTCTAAATTTTTTACCACATTATAATACCTCTAGAACTTTTGTTTTATTTTAGTGATATAGATTTTCGCTATTGTGTGTGTGTATATATATATATATATATATATATATATAGCTTTGAATACTATATTATACAATTGACAAATAATTTATGTATACTTACAATGTTTAAATCTTAGAATAATTTTTTGGGTAAAGTATATAACTAACGAGATCTGATTATAACATTCTGGTCAGATCTAAGAGGTTACAACCTAACTCAATGAATAAGACGATAATTAATCTACTATAAGCATGGAAATGATGAGAAATACAAATATATGATATCTGATAAAATCAATGTATACAACATAATATTTTTTATTATTATATTATCATTACATTTAACATTATTTTCTAATAAACTGCTATGAGAGCTTTTGTTCCGAATTATGTACTCAGAGATGCGGTCTCACAATTTTCTATCTACTTAAAACTAATCAGAAAAACAATAAAAACAATATAGATTATTATGATTTATGAATTCCATCGAATAGTAGAGTGAATCACTTCACTTCTATTTACTATTTAATTTAATGCCGGAGAAAAGGGGATTTGTAGACCACTAATGCTGCACGAAAAGTTGAGAGCCTGAATAGGAGACGTGGTACGATAAGGGGCTATGATAGTGGATGCGGGTTTGGGTCCTCTGTAAACACCCAGCTGCAGGGAAAGAAGAAGTGGATAAAATGAGGTCATATTGGCCTCAAACCCTCAATCTGAAGCCACAAGAATAAGATAACAAATCACTTCTTCTTCGTCGTCAAATCCGAAGGCCAAAACCCACCGCTCAATTCCTTCCGTTACAAAGAAATGGCAATTTCATCACCAGCAGCCATCGCCGCTGACGCTAAGCTTACATACCCACAAGCCTCCCCTCTGCCTACTCACTCCTCAACCACCTCTGCAGTTCTCTCCTCTAAACTAATCCCTACCCAACTCTCCTCTTCCTTCCTCCCTACTTTTATCACCACCGTCTCCACCTCCTCCTCCGTCTTCCCCCACCGCCGTGCCCCTTTCACCGTCAAAGCTGCCCGCGGCAAATTCGAACGCAAAAAGCCTCACGTCAACATCGGCACCATTGGTCATGTCGACCATGGTAAAACCACATTGACCGCCGCTCTTACTATGGCCTTAGCTTCCATGGGTAACAGCGCCCCCAAAAAGTACGACGAAATCGACGCCGCCCCAGAAGAGCGTGCCCGTGGTATCACCATCAACACCGCCACCGTCGAATACGAAACCGAGAACCGCCATTACGCCCACGTGGATTGCCCCGGTCACGCTGATTATGTCAAGAACATGATTACCGGAGCTGCCCAAATGGACGGTGCCATCTTGGTCGTTTCCGGCGCCGACGGACCCATGCCCCAGACTAAAGAGCATATCTTGTTGGCTAAACAAGTCGGTGTCCCAAACATGGTCGTGTTCTTGAACAAACAAGACCAGGTCGACGATGAAGAGCTTTTGCAATTGGTCGAATTGGAGGTGCGTGAATTGCTTTCTAGTTACGAATATCCTGGTGATGATGTGCCTATTGTTTCTGGTTCTGCACTTTTAGCTTTAGAAGCTTTGATGGCTAATCCCAGTATTCCCAGAGGAGAAAACCAATGGGTTGATAAGATTTATGAACTTATGGATGCTGTTGATAGCTATATTCCTGTTCCTCAAAGACAAACAGATTTACCTTTCTTGTTAGCTGTTGAGGATGTGTTTTCCATCACTGGCCGTGGTACCGTTGCCACCGGTCGTATCGAGAGAGGTACCATTAAGGTCGGAGATACCGTTGACATTGTTGGATTGAAGGAAACTAGAAATGTCACAGTTACTGGAGTTGAAATGTTTCAAAAGATACTAGACGATGCCATGGCTGGTGATAATGTTGGATTGTTGCTTAGAGGTGTTCAAAAGGCTGATATTCAGAGAGGGATGGTTTTGGCTAAACCAGGAACGATCACGCCGCATACCAAGTTCAGCGCCATCGTCTATGTGTTGAAGAAGGAAGAGGGCGGTAGGCATTCTCCGTTCTTCGCAGGTTATAGGCCTCAGTTTTACATGAGGACCACAGATGTCACCGGAAAGGTATCTTCGATTATGAATGATAAGGATGAAGAGTCTAAGATGGTTATGCCCGGTGACCGTGTAAAGATGGTAGTTGAGCTTATTATGCCGGTGGCGTGCGAACAAGGGATGCGGTTCGCTATTAGAGAAGGAGGGAAGACGGTCGGAGCCGGTGTTATTCAGTCCATCATTGAGTGATTTTAGGATACCTAAGTTGCAAGAAATGTTATTTGCTTTTGCAGTGATGTCAAGAAAAACTTCATATGTAAGTCATGCAATTAGTTTCATCGCAATTTTTAGAACCTCTTTGATTCCAATTTCATATTTTGGAGTTTTGTTTTTCTTTTGCTTCAACCTTATGTTAAATCTAGTTGGTTAATATTCATGTCATAATTTTGGTCAAGCATGTCTTGTTTTATCTCAAGCATGATTTTCTTCTTTAATCTGTTATACCTTGACTCTTGTACAACAAGCATAATATTCGGTTAATGTTTTTCAGCTTAGATTGGATGGATTGATGTTGAAAATTGAACTTAATCTATGCTTAATAACGATATCATTGTGAATAAAAAAAATACCAAGCATAATTTGTTAAGAGACTAATAATAGAAAAGAGAGAAAAAACTGTAAACAATTGATTGGTAAGTAGTGTGAACTGTGTGATAATACAAAATTATGTGTAGGATTGATTTTATGAAAGATCTGATATTTAAGCCTACGTAGTACATTATCTCTTCTTGAAAATCTCTCTGCTACATTTTTCATTACTACAAGTTAAGATCTCTTTAAACGTAATGAAGAACTTAAAGAATCAAGTTTGATAATGATAAAGACTCACATCAATGGGAATCATCTGATATCGTCTCATTATCAATGTTTTAATAATTACTTTTTTTGTTAGTTCAATAGTTATCATGGAACTTTTAATACATATTTAAAAACACTTTAATTATTATTTGCTTATATTTTTTTTAATAAACTAAGTTGATTATAATGTAGTATCTCTCCTAAATACTCTCAACTATTTGACAAAAAACACTCAATCACCCTGTTACAATTATTGGTGCTCGAACCCGTGACCTCTAGAAATAACAACGATTCCTTTAGCTACTGAGATAAGTTAATTTGTGCTTATTTTCCTACATTAAACACGTGTGTTTGTGTATGAAGTGTTATTGATATTTAACAAGCCTTTCTGTTTTTCTCTTTGTTTTCAATTATGTCAATTTAAACTATCAATAATTTAAACTATCAATGCATACAAATTTACAATTTAATCCACATGTTTTAAATATATTCTACATCAAGTTTGATCTAACTTCTAAGACCCTAATTGATAATTAGACTATTTGAAAATACCTAATTGATACAATACAAATACTTTAAGAACTCGATTAAAACATTTTTGAACTCAAGGACCAATTTAAAATCTAAGCCATAGTGAGAGATGTCTGGTGTAATTAACCGTAAATTATACAAGAAAATATAAGCGATCCTTGTAAACAGATATATTGCTGGAGAATGTGGCTCCTAAATTGAACCTTTAGTTTTCTTACTAGCCAATCATCTGCATCTCTTCCCGTAGCCTATATTCTCATTACATGCGAAGATTTATAGTCGGATAGACAAGACACCAGTGGCACTGAATGTTGCTAAAGATTTAACAAATTTAGCATGAAAACATCATATCAATTTTACACCAATTCAGACATTCATTACTTCAATCCGGTAATTCCGAACGCTCCCTCCGCGCCGTGACTATCATTGTGTTCAACAAGTTGCTAGGGTCACAACAATAAGGGTTGTCGAGAGCTGCATGCGCCAAAAATGGTAGTTTTCTTAATGCTCTTCCACTCAATCCCTGTAAACAAACATACCACAAATACTTGTTTATTTCACCAAAAATCGTTGCTAGATTCGATGTTTTCACATTCAGGGCTTTGAATTCTAACCTCGCATGCTTCAGCAGCCTCTGCTAATTGCTTGCACAGGTGAATAGTTGTTTGAACCTCCTGATTCTCATCTATATTCAGTTTCTCTTTCAACGTAGCATAGTCTAGAAGGATGTATTGGCTTGAACCCTAAAGAGATCCGTATTCAACTTGGCATTAAGTGAAGAGATCGAAATATGGAGGCCTTAGGCATTGTTTTGCATTCTTACCTGGATATTTGATATAATTCCTGTCCGCATAAGCTCCTGCAAGCAGGATCTTAAAATTTCGTAACGAGCTTGAAGAGTTGGAGGACCCACATATGCTTTGATATCGGCTCTGTCAACAAATGCAATATCTGCAACGCTAGTAGTAAATTTATACATTCCAAAAGGGTAGATTCTTCTCCAGCCTAATATTTCAGGACCGGTGCCATCGGTAAATATGAAAAATGTAAAATATCCCTCAGTACGTTAAATGAGAGGACTGATAAAAGTTTCTAACAGTTGAAGATTCCAATACTGAATCCATAAGGAAATACTGGCAAATTACCATGTAAATACCATACATTTCAGAATAAGGAACCAATGTGAAATGGATTATAGGCTTACCAATAGCAGCAGTTATATTGGACGTAGTCATAATTATAACATTGGGAGCTGATTTCAGCTTATCCATCTGAGTTAATAGCGCATTTACAACCTGAGGTACATTTTCAAGTTGTATCCGGTCTAAAGTTGAGGTAAATATACTCACATAAAGATGTGCATTTAAGAGAAAATATAAAGAAGTTTAATTGCTTGCTCAAAACTGTTACCCGAATGGAATCTGAAGGTTCAGAACCAGACAAAGCAGCATTTCTAGCAGCAGCAAGACTTTCAACTTCGTCTGCGGTAGCAGCAGCAGCATATATCTAAAGAGTCAAAAGCTAGAAAGACCAGAAATGATCAAAACCCTGACTTCGGTAATAAAAGACTCACCAATTAGAACAAATACCAGATTGTGTTCTTCCTCCACCATTTCTTGAATTTTTTGGAAAAGCTTTGCAACCTAAAGTTTAGGACCAGAGTAAAGAATGTAAACTACATACTATTAACATCCAGGACGTCATGATACTTTTGTCATAAGTTCAAAAAATTGATACAGAAACATACCAACTTGCCACTCTCAGAGAACCATTTACTAAACAATGAATGTGCATTAACTTCGATTAATTGGCACTGTGGATATCTGAATAAAGAATGGTAAGCCAAAAATAAAATCAGCTAGAACTAACCATCTCACAAGCTAATGTATAAGCCCTTAAGTGATATATGCTTTGGGCACAGAAATTAACAAAAGACCTGGAGCTGAATCTAATGGATAATTTTTGTGCCATTGCTTTGCATAAAGATGTCTTTCCTGTCCCTGGAGGCCCATGTAAAAGAATAATGCTACAGAAAAGAAAAATCATTGATCAGATTTCTGTGCTACTACTATCATCAATGCCTGTAATCAATTGAACTTCCCTGTTAACTAGATGACAGATAATTAGAGAAAATATCGAAGAAGAAACCAATATTATCTGTTGCTAACAGTCTTGAACCAATGACCAATAGACCATATGAAGCCTTGCTTCATCCTATTTCTAAAAGTTGCCCTTGGTGCAATATCATGCAACAGAACTGCCAAATTCCTTGAAAATTTTGAATGTTGAAAAGTAAGCATGTATATTTATATAGATCATAGATGCGTAGTAAGCTCTCTCCCTCTCTACAGAGCTTTGCATCATCAAGAATACGAAATTATAACAAAGTGGTATTGTCAAGCAATAAGTATGAACAAGTAAATATGCATAATGCTGAAAGATGGGCAACAAGCTGATAATTCAAAAGCCATCATCCAGAATGTTCTATTTGAAGTTTTAGTCTTACTAGATAAGATTCCAACTATGAAAACCCCAACTGAAACAATCTAATCACTTTGCTCATTACTAGATAAGGATCATCGTACTAGTTCTGAAAGAGAGAAACGAAGCTTCATTTTCTTCTATTCTTTTTTGGAAGAAAAAGATACTACTTTATTGAAAGTCATGAGGAGGTTCCATACCGATTCCATGACACAAGGAAAGGATCAACACCCTTTTCAGTAAAAAGTAATGCACTGGCTGCATAACGCAATAACCGCTGCTTTAGGCCAGATTCATAGATTAAGCTGCAAAATCAAGTTCCAAAATCAATATAAAAACTAATCCAAACGTTCAAGAAAAATGGAAGCTGTAGACAAACCTTTCCCACATGCCATCAAATTCCTTAGCTGGTAGGATCCATTCATTGAAGCTAGACAACTGGCCATCCGCAGTTAATTCCTCACATGGTCCCTCCTCACTAAGCTGACAAGTCAAGAATCATATCCATTCAACTTTAAACAGACAACATTAAGTATAAACTGAAGATTCGGTCAGACATTTTACAATTTAAGCAACCACACAAATGCTGTATCAACATCCTCTTCTATAAACTCAAGTAGATGTTCATTTGAAATGTGATTCAATTTCAAACAAGGTGTAAGACATTGCTATGTCAAGTTGTCGGAAAAAATGAGCAAAATAATAATAACAAAATGATAACCTTTTAACCTTAATAAAATCAGAGTAGCATGGTACCTGAAAGACATGAACAACAGGTTTCACTTGCCAGAACAAAAGAATATCATGGCTTTTAACCCATTCATCTACACAACAAACAACAATGAACAATATGAGTACATCATAACCCCCCCATCCTCCATACATAAACAAGGGAACTCTTAAACTAAAACACGATTATCAAGATAGATGAAAACTTTAAAGTGTAGAGACAAAATGATAGCATAAAAGAAGAGAGAGAGAAAAAAAACCTGTGTCACATATACAGATTCTGTATACATTTTCCATGAGAAATTGATCATCGTTAGGCACAGGTATGGGACCATCAATGTAGCTCAGGCTTCTCTTTTCAAGCATTCTGATTGCAAAACAGAAAAGTTTAATTTCACATTTCAGTTAAAACCCCCAAGTCCAACCCTAATTAATTTAAAATTAAATTATTCTCACAACATAAGCATCAAACAAAAGCCATCATCAGTCAACTATTTTTAAATAGATAAATAAAGCAAAATCATTTTAACATCTTACTGTTCAACGGCTTTTTGGACATCATCAGGCCGAGCTGTGCTTGAAGGTTTTAAGCAAACTTCAACTGGCATTAAAAGAAGAGATGCATTACAAACATAAATCAACGCAAAAAAGAATCAGATTTGCAAAAAGAGTGAGACTGAAAAACCGGAAACACGAAATTTGTCAAGAGGCACAGTAGAAGGCGACGCCGGGGGTGGTACTAAAGGGACGACGTTTTGATCGCAGATCTTGACGTCGTCGACTTTTGGAATGGAAATCTCCATGGGAGAGCTTGTCATTTTTGATTCGGTAATTAAATTGACTACGGATTATAATGTGAATAGCATTGGAGAGAATCTGGAAAAAAAAAAAAAGATGGAGTTTTTTAGGGTTTAATCCAAAACGCTAGATTGCTTGAAAAGGAATTTTGAAATGGGCGGGAAAAAGTGACTGGCCGAGTAGGATGGAACTCACTCAAACTTCCTTTTATTCTATATTATTTTACAATTGGGTAAACTATACAAATTGTCTCCTAATTATAGGAAACTTTTTTAAGTCTCCCAATTATGAATAGTTACAAAAGGGTCACTCAATCTAGAAAAATTAACAAGTTGGTTGTTTTCCATTTAGCCCTCAACTTTTATATTTTTAAGTTTATTCTAATTGTAAATAATTAACTCTAAATATTTCAATATACTATCAATTTAGTCACGTTCATCTTTTCTAGCAAATTTTAATTTTCTTCTATTTTTAACCAAATTCTCTTTCTAAAATTCAACTGTGGAAGGACCAAAACAAACTTTGTTGTAATAATAGATAAACTAATGGCTCACCATGTTGTGAAAGCCTAAACCTTTTCCTATTCCCTCAAAATCTCACTCCCAAGCTTTTGGGGGAAATTGTCACTTGCATAAAAAATTGAAGATGGTTTTTCAATAGCTATGAGATTTTATAATATATTTTAAAATCTAATATGATTTATCTAGATTTTCCAAGTGAATTATTCAATGTATTGCATGCTTCAACCCTATCTTTCAACATCCTCGGGAAGATCAACACATCAAGTTTCAGCGATTAAAGGAAGTGTTATTTTTCATAGAGTTCAAGGGTTCGAAAACTAAGTCTGTAGATTGTTAATGATTAAGAAAAATTATGAACGGATACTACTTTATAATCACCAAACTATTAAAAAAACATCCTCAAAAAGGTCATTAATAATGGTAAATCACATTCCTCTTTCTTTGCACATGAATAAGTGAGGTTTTGTCTCAAATCCCCTTTCGGCTCCGCAAACATATCAAGGGCTACATTACACCCTTAGTATATGTAATGGGTTTCAGAATTAAACTGTAAGTTTGTAATAATTTCATTGTTCTTCTTAAACTTGAAAGTTCGTGAGGCATCTTTGTGCATTCCGTTTCCTAGCAGACAAGAGAGAAGAGCATTACGTGCATGAGCATCGGGTTTAAGACTAGTGGACTCCATTGATTTACATAATTCCATTTCACTTCTAATCTTTTTGGCCCTACTAAGTTTCAATATTCTTCTTGATAGTTCCTTTCCTCTAAAAATTGTACTTCACATTAACTAAACAATCTTAGTGGTTAAGGGATTATTGTTATCCCCTGAGATCACACGTTCGAGTTATAGGGGTGTATGAACATTTAGGTCCGTTTGTTTCATTGAAACCATTTTTTGAAAAATATTTTATGTAAAATAAATTACATTTTATGGAAAACATTTACTTGAAAACATTTTATGGTGTTTGGAAAGGATTGTGTAAAACATTTTACACTAGTTGATGATTTTTTTAAATTATTTATTACAAATATTAAATAAAATAAATAATATTATTTATTAAAAAAGTTAATATTATTATTTTTAAAATATTAGAATAATTTATTTATTATTATTTAAATATTATTTCTATAATTCTATTAATAAAATATTAATATTAGTACATTTTATTGAAATAAAAATGTTATAAATTATATTAATTATTTATTAAATTAATAGTATCGTATTATATTTTAAAAAGAATTAATAATATATTATCTTTATTAAAATTCTATTATATTATTTTATTAATATTAAATACATAAATAATATTATTCATTATTAATAATTTAATAATATTATTTCTATGAAAATTAATAAATAATATAAATTTTATTAATATTTTATTATATAATATTAAAATAAAAATATAATATCTTATATTATTATAATATAATTGAGTATTTTATTATAATATTAAAAAAATAATATAATATTATTAGAATATTAATAAATATATTTTAAATATTTTAATAATTAATATTTTGATTAAAATTATATTAAAATATTTTATTAATTTTAAATTTATAAAATAAAATTGTTTTGAATATTTATTTTTTGAAGAGAAAAGTTCGGAAAATGACTTACGAAAAATTAGACTGTAAGTCATTTTCCAGAAAACACAAAGGAAATTCTGTTGAGCAGGAAATATTTTAAGTTGACCAACTAGTTTTCCTCCGACCAAACACTGGAAAATGGAAAAAACGTTTTCAAAAAAATGTTTTTAGTACATTTTATTGAAATAAAAATGTTATAAATTATATTTATTATTTATTACAATAATAGTATCGTATTATATTTTAAAAAGAATTAATAATATATTTTAAATATATTTATTAAAATATTATTAGATTATTTTATTAATATTAAATACATAAATAATATTATTCATTATTAATAATTTAATAATATTATTTCTATGAAAATTAATAAATAATATAAATTTTATTAATATTTTATTATATAATATTAAACTAAAAATATAATATCTTATATTATTATAATATAATTGAGTATTTTATTATAATATTAAAAAATATAATATAATATTATTAGAATATTAATAAATATATTTTAAATATTTTCATAATTAATATTTTGATTAAAATGATATTAAAATATTTTATTAATTTTAAATTTATGAAATAAAATTATTTTGAATATTTATTTTTTGAAGAAAAAAATTCGGAAAATGACTTACGAAAATCAGACTGTAAGTCATTTTCCAGAAAACACAAAGGAAATTCTGTTGAGCATGAAATATTTTAAGTTGACCAACTAGTTTTCTTCCAACCAAACACTGAAAAATAGGGAAAACGTTTTCCAAAAATTGTTTTATGTAAAACAAACATACTCTTATTATCAAATGATAGAGAGTCTGGTGAGAGAGAAAGAGATACATTTACTAAATAATGAAAAATTTGGTGAGAGAGAAAGAGATATACTTACTTAAGAAAGTGAAGAACTTCAGCAGATGTGAAAAGATAGTTATAAATGATCTTTCGACTATAAAATATTATTTTGTTGAGTCATTCGACTATAAAAAATTACGAAAAAGTCTCTTGATTATTGGATAATCATTTTGTAACTATTAATGGTCATAAAATTCAATAAAGTAACATCTAATAGTTTAGAGATCATTTGTATATTTTACCTTAAAATAACTTAATTTAACTTGACACGATAAACTAGTATTGATTCACTGGAGCACTCGATTGTAACTAAACAATTACAACGAAAGGCCTTTCAAACATTGAATTGTTGAATAAGAAAATGCCATGATTAATGGCCTTTTAAATCTAGTCTTTAAAAATTAGTTGGAAAGAAAAGTATTAGAAAGAAAGACATTTGACAAAACTAATATTGGGGTTAAATCTAGTTTAAGAAACCAAAGGCGGGGTCAATTCCGAGATTTAAAGATTTTAATAGGTAACTAAAAAACTAATGATCCAACATTTCCAATTGTATGTTGTTAAAAGGATTTGCTTCTTCCAAGCATATCTATTTAATTATAATTTTCTTTAGTAGAAAATTCCTTTAGTTAGAAAAAATAAAATTTTATTTTTTTTTTTAAATATGAATTGATGTTCATCACATAAATTCGGTGGATAGATTAGGGCCACCAACAATATTCTATTCGCAACAGCTAGAGTGTGAGGCTCTAAATTATCCCAACATATGGATTGGCCCCTACATGATTGCTTAATTCCTACACACCACCAGCCATGAAGAAAAAGCAGCCCCATCTTCTTCAACACGACAACACCAAAGACCTTCAAATCATCAAAGCAGTCGCACAAGCCTGGCTCTCTCACTACGGCACCGCTAGCTCCACCAGTGAATTCGATGCTCACCCGCGTCGACGTTTCAGAGCCGAGCCTTCAAGATTCAAGCTTGAAGCAATGAACAACCCTTCTGCCAAGCTCAAGAACAAGGACGCTAGTATTGCTGAGCCTGCTGCCCCACGTTGGGACTTTGGCCAATCACTGTGGGATTCATACGAGCTTGTCACCCTCGCCAAAAAGCTTGAAACTTCCCTTGTTTTCGATGACCCTCTTTCAGCAGCTGGCTCAGAATTAGAAGAAGATTCAAGTGAAGATAAAAAAAGGCGAAAGGAGAGTAAGAATAGCCTTAGAAATCTGTTAAAACGGGTGTCTTCTAGGAGATTCAACGAAGCTAATATTAATTCCCCCGAAAGATAAGAAGTTCTTCTTCGGTTTGTGTTAACTGTAAATTGGATTTGTCAGTTCAACAGAGAAGAAAAACAGAATTGGAAGGAATTCTATTGTATTTTGTTTTTCGTTCAATACATTTCTGAATGCAAGGAGCAGCATATATAGAAGGTGATAGTAGTCAACTAAGCCACAAAATAAGGGATAAAATAAATCAAAGATACAAGATAATTGAGATTTCCTTTATCAAAAGAACTATCATATATGTAGGAAGTTATTACTCTTAGGAATCTTAGTCACCGATCATATCCCTTGATTTGGTATAATATTTGAATGAGCACATCCTTCCTTATCCCTCCATTAAAGGTAGAATATTCCTTTTTATCTCTCAAGGCTCATTTAATTGAATCAGGCTTGTTAATAAACAGTACCACAATTTTGGTCCTGCAACTGTAAACATGGAGATGGTAGTTCCTTTTAGTAGTCGGAGATCAAACATAACTTATTTTGAAGATAATCCTTCCTCTTTTAGCATAGTTTGAACTGGAACTATCATTTTCATATTTGTGCATGTGGATTCATCTAAATATTGTTTAAAAAAGAAGGTTAAAATCTATACCATTTATTAACGAAAGGTGTGGTCGTGAAAATATTTTTCTGAGGTGCAGCTGATTTCTTCTCCGATTAACACTTGAAGTGCAAAACATCAGCTACATTTAACAGTAGTAGAGATAGAAAAGGTTTTAGAACACAAGCCACTTTGATCAATCTGTATAACAAGATGGATTCGAAATATTAAAGTAGAGAGTTTATTACCTTAAAAGCAGCAGCAAATATTGCCTAGAGATTCCACATGCCTTGGCTTCAAATGATAATTTGTTATGCAACAGCTCCCACAATACAATTGCAAAGTTGTAGGCACCCATTTTTATGGCTATAGTGCTTTCCTCCTCGCCTTAATGTGACAGTGCTGTACAACTGTTATAGTTTAACTGTCAATGACTCCTTCGTGCTCTGCTAGTTTAACTGTTTTATCATTTGATGTCAAAAGCAAGTTTTATGCAGAGAGACGGTTTAGATACAGTGAGAATTATGCCCTCCCAATGCGATGTTGGATCATTCATACCAATCAAGTTTCCTATTGTCCCCGTTTGAGGGGACATTATAAATAGATGCGCACAACTCCTAGTTGACAAGGATTAAGTAGTAACATGTTGGGATTTGGAAAATGTAAATGGAAAACTAGTACGAGAGCCGAAGAGGGTTTGATCTCCTACAGATAGAAGCGGATGTGTTGCTGCTACCGGATTTCAAGTTACACATGAGCATTAGTTGGCATTGATGTTTGATGTCTGATGAGCTTCCATGGAAGCCAATAGGGAAGGTAAGTATTAGCATTTTTTTAACATGCGTCCAAATTATTTTTCTACTTTTTATGATGGAGTATGATAATTCTCTATCTTGACAGTAGCGATCAACGTGGAAATTTGTTGGAGTTAAAAATAAAAAATGCGACAATGCTTGTGAGACTTTATGACCATATAAAGAACCTAAGGGCCGAACGATGGAGGAGGAAAAAACCGATCAGGAGCACGACCAACTGATGAGAAGCAAGAAAAAGATTAAAGCATCAGATTCAGAGGGGAGAAATTTGGAAGTTAGAATGGAGGAAGATAATCAATTGGATTTCATGAAGGACAAGGCAGGATTGGAGAAGCCTTCTTATCGCAGTATGCTCATAGGGAAAAGTCTGATCAATGGCTTTCCTGATTCTGATGAGTTCGGTCCCATTGATAAGAATGATGGTCTTATAATGGTGGGATGTAAGGATTCTTAACCGTCTCTGAGCACCTCGGAAAGATTTCGAGTAAGTCTATTATATATTAGATGGTCTAATTGTTTGATCTTGAAACTACTTGGGAAATCGATTGGCTTTCGTGCACTGGATGAACGAATTAGAAAGATGTGGATGCCAAAGATGGAGTATGAACTCATCGATGTTGGTGAAGGTTACTTCCTAATAAAGTTTTCTTCGCTGGATGATCTTAAATTCGCCTTGGAAGGACCATGGATTATATATGGCCACTATCAATCGGTTCGTAAGTGGTTTGCGGATTTCCACCGGTCCTCTACTGCCATTGACTCTACCGCGGTTTGGGTTTGTTTTCCTGGTCTTCCGGTGCATTATTACAATGAATGAATGCTTTTTGCAATGGGAAATATGCTTGGGCGTGCTTTGAAGGTTGATCCGAACACTAGTTATGCTTCGAAAGGTAGATTTGCTCGGGTTTGTGTTGAAATAGATTTTGGCAAAGCAGTTGTGCCAAAGATTGAAGTTGATGGGAGATGGTATTCAGTAGAATACGAGGGATTGCCAATGATTTGCTTTCATTGTGGAAAATTTGGCCATCGGGATTGTTCATCATTCTCAATACAAGCACCCACTAGATATGGCCATGAGGCGGGTGCAAAGGGATCTAACCGGCAATCAGTCGGGAAACGGTTATTCAAGTATGGAAACTGAAGATACTCATTTTTTTCATTTGAATATTATTTATATTATTATTATTATAATAATAATAATAATTATTATTATTATTTTATTATTAATAAATATTATTACAGGCCCAATCCAGATTGAACCGACCCATTTATAGACCCAACAATAACCGGCCCAATTACAACAGCCTAATGGAAACCCTAAACCCAACTAGGGTTTCAACATCTTCATCCAGCCGCCTCTCTCTTTCCACCGTTGGATCTGATTTGATCCAACGGCCCAGATGGCTCCAGACAAAACCCTAGGGTCTCATCACCCTAGGGCCACGCGGCCGTCGTTGCTTTTGCCGCCAGTTCACTCCGTTTCAGTTGCTGCCACGACGTCCACCAAAGGCTTCCAGAAGAGCCCTTCCAGCCGCACACGTCGCTCTACAGTGAGTCACCACTGGAAATCCGGTGACTCACTAAACAACCACCTTATTAACTGGTCCGAGAGCCACACCGTCGATGGCTATAAAAGCCATCGACCACCTGCAAACAAAGGAACACGACAGGAACCCAAGAGAAAAACAGAAAGCAAAAAAAAAAGAGAAGAGAAGATACAGAGAGCAACTCAGCAACCATATTAGCAAGGAAAATACGAGGGAGACTTACCAACAAAGCCCCGCCGTCGCCGGAGTTCACACGAGCCTCCAAACATCACCAAAGGCCTACGAAAACCCGAAGGTATTTTCGTAGATTTGCTCTGATCGGGAGCTTTTTAAGAGAAACGGTCATCGGAACCGTCAATAGGACGATCCGATCTATATTTTGGTGTAAATTTTTTTTTCCGGCCACCGAATGCGGTGGCCGGTGGCGGGGTCAACACCGGCGAACGGCTGCCGACCGGTGCCTCTTCTCTCTGTTTTAGAGAGAAGCGAGAGAGTTTTATAACTCTCTCATTTAGAGAGAGAAGAGAGAAAGGAAGAAATGAGAGAATGGCCCGTAGGGCCAGCCATATTCGGGTATAAATACCCCTTCCCAAACGACGCCATTTTGGGAGGGGTATATATGTAATTTCACGCATGGCTAAACCATACGCGCAGTCATCCAAGTTTGTAATCTTTTCAATTTAGTCACTAGAATTGTTTTTCTGGATATTTTAATTTTGTCTTCCAATATTATTTTATTATGTTTTAGTCATTTCCAGTGTTTATAAATATTAGGGTAAATACTCATTTTAGTCCCCTATAATTTTAATTAATTATATTTTAGCCCTGAATAAATAATTAAGGTTAAATTACACTATTAGTTATTATATTTCATAACATTACAAATTAGGGTATTTAATATTAATATATTTTAATTTAGTCATTAATTTTAATATCTTCATTTATTTTAACTACAAGTTTTATTACTTTTTATATTTTAACATTATAGTTTTATTTTTATTTATTTTAGTCATTATTTAGTTATATTTTAATTTAAATATTAATTATTATTATTTTTAATATAAATTATTTTAATCATGTTTTAATATTTATTTATTTTTCAATATTAAGAAAGGGCAGTCTTAAAACAACTGGATGTCCATTTTCTAAATATTTTAAATAAATAAATATCCTATTTTTTAAAAAATGTTTTAATTATTTATTTATTTTTTTAATATCAAAGAAAAGAGCTGTCTTAAGGCACCTAGAAGTCATTTTCTGATATTTCTAAATAAATAAATTTATTTTTTATATATGTTATAAATACATTTTTTATATAATTATAACTTCGAAATAATAGGATTATGAATTAAATATATCTTTTAATTTTTAAATTTCTAATAATAGAGACAATTTATAATTAATAAAGTACCAATTTTGGGTGTTGTAGGGGTGCTAATCCTTCCTTAAACGTAATCGACCACGAATCCCTTTTTATTTATAAAAAGAATGAATTTTTGGTTAAAACGCAGGTCAATTTATCTTTTAACTGATGTTTTCTTAAAAACTCTTTTAAAAGATAATTTTTTTTAGGTATTCAACCTACCTGACCCAAAAGGCTGATGGCGACTCCCAAATTATTTTAAAAACCCATTTATTCACATCACTTTTCCCGCCAAGTAATAAATTCGTGCCCGGGCGAAAACCGGTTACGACAGCTTGGCGACTCCGCTGGGTATAAGTCAAGCTTTTAAAATCAATTATAAATTGTCTCTATTAATTATAAATTAAAAATTCATATATTTAATTTATAATTCTTTTTTTCAAATTTTTTTATATATATACTTATTATTTTCATAGTATTTATATATATTATTTCATTTTATTTGCAAGTATTTTATTTCATTATTTATTTTTCTGTTAAAGGTTTGAACATTTCTCCTCACACACAACACTTGCATTGCATAACATAAAGCTCTATAATTGAGTTTGTCCCTTTTAAGTGGGAGTGAAAGCAACGTCTTCGTGAGAATTTATTCTCCGTGTCAGACCTAGTAAGTAACTTTCGGGGTTCATATGCTCTATGTCTTCGTGAGAATTTATTCTCCGTGTCAGGCATAG